GTCACTAGAGCAAGTCGGTAGCCATTTCCACACACAAACGCCAAGTGCCGTCCTTCTTCTTGACCATCACAATCGCAGCATTGTATTCGGAATCCGCAGGCTCGACAATGCCTTTGGCCTCCAGGTCACTCACTATCTTCACGGCTTGCTCATACTCCGTCTGCGCCAGCTTCCGTGGTTTCATGTACGGCGGATTGCCGCTAACAGAGATTCGATGCACACCCAACGATGGATCGACATGACCGAGGTCAGTGCTGTCCTTTGAGAAAACCCCTGTTTGTTGTGTCTCTCGAATGATATCGATCGCCCGTCTCTTCTGTTGCTCGGTCAGGCCCTTGCCGACATGAATGCTGTGCTCGATGCCGTTCGCATTTGGGTAATTGCAGACGTCGTCTGTCTCTGGTGCAGTCCCCATCAAGTGATCAAGCCGCTCTCGATCAATCTCAGCAGGTATCGTATCAATCGCCATCGGCAGGTCGTCATCAGTCATTCTTAGTGCTGCTATTTGACGTTTGGCTGTGTCAGATGTCTGAATTAGGGAACTTGCATCATCCAGGCTCGGCAATGTGACGAAATACCCCAGCAGGTAGTTCCTTGGCAGCACGGCCCTCTTCAGCGATTCATTGCGAAGCCTTACGTACACACGACGACCCTTCGTGACCTCCAGCATATGGTTGGCGACAGCAAGCCTGGCACCACCATGGTACGTGAGAGCAGGACAATCGATCAAACGAATGATGTCCCCTTCTTCGCCTTCAGTTCCACTCACTCGCGCTCGCACCCATGTCTCTTTGCCGGCTGGTATGGGCGTCCTTGCAGTGACGAGAACCTGGCACCTCGCCTTGTCGTGCCCGGCGCGTGGCTTCAAGCGAATTACGCCAATCGCAGTGATGCTGAACCCATCTGCCTCTCGTATTTGCGGCTCTTGCATGTCTATAGGTGGCCATTCTGGTCGGGATGTGATGCGCACTTTGCCCATTTGGAAGTCGACAATAATGCCTTCCTCACGAATGGCTTTTCCCCCAAGTAAGATGACACTCCTCGGCCCATCAATAACGCAAAATCCACTAGAAGAGGACGCAAACACGTCGTGCTTGTGTCTGCTCCCTTGATCCCATCAGGCCACAGTGCGACCTTTGCGACGCTCTTCACTGTGGCCTCGGCATGATGCAGCATACTCAGCTTCACAGACGCCGGCGTCAGCGTTATGTCTCCAATCCCCTCGGCCCGCAGCTTATCAAGCATTGGCTTGCTGATCACGCTCACGTCAGCCCCAGTATCAACAAGCACCTCAGATGAGACCCCATTCACTCTCATCGGGACGAATGTCTGCCAACGCACACCTCGCACAATCTCAGTGTGGCTTTCCTTCCATGCAGCTGTAGGAGCCTCATTGCCTCCGCTACATACTGCGTTGTACACATCCTGACGTACAACATGACCACCCGTTTTCCACTCCGCCACTGGTGGGCCCAGCGACGTGACGGCATGCGAAGAAGAAGGCGTCCCATCTCTTCGCCTACCGCCATGCACGACATCCGAGGAAAAAGGCGTCCCTCCTTCTCGTTTGCCGCCGTCGGGGTTTTCGGCGGAACTAGCCCCGTCCAGCTCCAGCCCTTCGCCAGTTATCATCAGTGGCTGCCCACCGCCACCGGTACCTCCGAGCCTACCCTCTGGCTGTGCCATCGCGAGACCCGCGTATCCCATAACTGGCTGTCCTTGACTTCTATCCGCGCCCGCTGATGCATCAGGGTGTGCCATATTGGGGGGGTTGCACAATCGCTTGTCCGATGCACCCCAAGGACCTTCCGACCCGGCCACCAAGTTCTTGTCAAGAGGCTCTTTGGCTTTCCGACAATTGTCAAGATGCGCTGTGGCCCTCTGACAATCGTCAAGATGCTCTTTTACACTCTGCAAATCGCCAAGATGCTCTACGGCCCTCTGGCGGTCCTTTGGCCCAGCCGCCGGGATATGGTGGTCCGGTTGTATCAGGTTGGTGGTACTTCTCGTATCGACAATATCCACAGAATGGGGATCGCCCTGTTTCTCGAGTGCCTGTACATTCAGGGCTGCATCCGTGTGCGTCTCTCTCGTCAGCATGTGTCTCGTGCTCTCATCTCTCAAAAAGGAGTCTCGTAAAAATGAGTTCTTCATCAAAAGCAGGGCTTCACTTGCTGGTGTGTCCTCTCGCGCGCCCTGTAGCGGAGGACCTATTCGTTTCCCAGCTGCGGTAGGTTGGAAACAGGGAGGGCCTTCACTTGAATGGAGTTTGTCCCTGTCAGTGCTGCTCTCTGCGTTTGTTCGAGGGAAGGCACCCAACCCTTCGGTCGCTTCCGGCAATCGATCCATCTGTGTCCACGTACGCCGCAGAAGAAACATCTGCCCAGGATCTTCTCTGTCCACTTGTCCATTCTCCTGTGTGGCACTTGTGTCAAAGTTCCTGCTCTCTTAGAGTCGCCTGGTGTCTCGGGTTGGTTCTTCAGGCCAGCCACCTCTGCTTTGAGTGCATTGATGGACGCAGCAAGAGAGACCATGCCGTCACGGCCCTCCGTCTCTTTCTGCTTGTCGAGGCAATCTGCATCCCGTCCGTCAACCGCGTTGACCTCAAATCGTGCGCTCTTTGACGGTCTCGTCATCTCGGCATCGCTGTCTTCTTCGTTGTGGCTGTTGCCGCGTTTGCGTGTTTGCAAGAGCCATACTTCCGCACTCAGTCCGAGTTCTCTGACGGTGCTGAACGTGCTGGGGTCGCTGTCTTTGTCGTATATCTTGTCCCTCAGGTCAGGCAGCAGGCCGTCAATGAACAGCTCCACCGCCTCTGACTCCGACTTGCGCGTGCGCGTCTTTCTGACTCCGATTTGCGCGTGCGCGTCTTCTGATAAAGCTCGTTGAACTCGTTGTACGCTTCTTGGAACGATTGAGTGGGCTTTTGCTTCCATGTCTTCATTTGCTCAGCTACGGCGATTGTCTGTGCCTGTTTCTGGCCAAACTCTCGAGCCAAGAAGCCCAAGAGCGTTTCCAGCTGCCGTGTGCTCATCCATCGAGTGACGCGAATGCGTGCAGTGCCCTGTAAGGCGCTCATGATGAATGGAAGTATCTGGCCTCCTTTGAGATTGAACATGTTCTCAGCCAGCCTGACTTCATCAATGAATGCCTCCACAGTGTGTTCTGCGCCTCCATCGAACGACTGGATGGACACCGATGGTTTCTGTAGGTCGCTTCGCACACTCATGGCAGCCAACCTCGCTGAAATCTCCTCCACCCGGTCACTCATCGCTTCCTGCGGCGCAACCTGGCTCGGATGAGAGCTGCCTGTCTCGTGTGTCAGTGCATGTCCGGCATCCGGCAGGGCAATGATGCTCTCAGTGTCGTCGTTGTGGTTGTGCGCTGGCGAAAGATCGACGCCTCCTTCATCTTGTGACTGTCTCCCCATGGTCTTCTTGTTGCGACGAGGCACCTGCACCACACCCTCAGGTGCGTTCCGCTTGCGCCTCTGTGTCGGTGCTCTCTTCGCCTGTGAGGGAGCTCCAGCCTCCGTACTCAGACCACTGCGTGTCCTCGCCATGTGGCGTTTCCAGCCGTACACCTCACTACCGTTCCCAGCCAGTCACCTCACACTGTACGGACCACCCCGAGTAAGCTTCACGGCAGATGCACCAAGAATGTTTGAGTGCTCGCTGTTCCAGCTCCCGAGTGTCTATTCAGCGAGCGGGTCTTAGTGGAGAATGGATGTGTGAAGTGACGAGGCGGATTGGCTTGGTGGTGAAGATCTTCGCTGTGGTTGAGTGAGAGTGACCGACGATGAAGATATC